ATTGTAATTCCCTGTTAGAGAAAGGTATTAAAATCATTTTTAGTGAAAAAATCATAGAACAAACTTTCGAACATAACTCAATACAATAGAAAGGATTTTAATTAATTTTTCCCCTAAATGGGGGAGTTTCACATCCCTATGTTGTTGTTGTAGCAGCATACAAATTCCCCAAAGAGTTTTTGGGGAGTGTTGCTGGAGTGACAGTCCTTGGCCAAATATGAATCTGGGTCGTTCCGGTTACGTAGGCCCGACTGTCGTGCTGTAATCCGTCGTAGATTCTATTTTGCTACGAATCGTAAAATTGGTATGCTGAAATCCGCGTTGTCGTATCGTGATTTCGAAATTCGGAGGCCATCTTCGAAATTCGTAATGATAGTATGCCTGAATCCGACGTAGCTGTCATTTTTATGTATTTGTCGGAAATTTTGTACAAAGAGCAACTACTGTCAGAGCGAAACAAATTGTTTTAAAAAATCAATAAAATAAAGTGTGTAAACGCAAAAATATGTAAGTTGAAGTGTAAATAGAAAAAACTTTGATTATTATTAAATATTTCCAACATATCAGGTCGAAGATCACAACAAATCGGTCGCAATACGAAAAATGCATGGGCGAAAGGCCGGACATTGCTAGAGGCTTTGCAAAATGTTTAAAGTTTTTGTCAATGTTTTTGAGAACGTGGATTGCCCACATCAAAATCTTTCCCCCAACACCATGTTGGCAGCTTCCTTCAGCGGAAAATCGCACACTTCGCCCAAACTCTTCCTCCATAATTATTTTTTCTGTCAAAGCTGGTAGTGCCGTTGATATTTACGATCGAATTACAGCATACCACCAATTTTCGATTTTTCGGAACAGAACTACGAATTCGTAACTACGAAGATGCGGATTACAGAATACGGGTGTTAGTAAAATTAATTTGCAAGACTAAAGCAGGGATCACACGATTTGTATATTTGTACAGATCTGTACAATTTCACAGTTGCAAAGTATTGTTAGGAAAGTTATTATTGAGCTGAACTAATTTCTTCTAGAAAACACCACTCTGTGGCTGCCAAAATGTACAAATGTAAAAATCGTGTAATCCCTGCTTTACCTTGCAAATAAATTTTACTAACAACCCCCCATTTTGGGGGAAAAATTAATTAAAATCCCTTCTAATGTATTGAGTTATGTTCGAAAGTTTGTTTTATCATTTTTTCTCTAAAAATGATTTTAATGACTTTTTTAACAGGGAATTACAATTCGCAGAAATTTTTTTTTTAATTTTGCAGTAGTTAATGATAATTTTAATTATCTTGCCTTAAATAGGAGAAAAACTTTAAGTTTGAATAACCGTTAAACCAGTAGGTTTATCTAAAAATTATATAAGACGTTTTTTGTAGAGCGTCAAGTTTCCGACAAAAATTTGTATCTCAATTTTTAGTCCGATAATTTATAGCCCAGAAAACTAGTGCCAAAGTTAAAAACAATTTTCTTCTAAGCAATTTATATGGAAAATATAAATCCGCCATGCGCGACCTTTTAAACTTAATATTAAGCGTTGCGCTTTTAACAGGAAGTTAGTCGATTTTTTTTTGAATCAGTCTAATATGTATGTACGTATGTACATTAGACCACGTCAAGAAAAATAAAAATCATGCAATGCGACCGAAATCCAACTCAGATTTTAGTATTTGGTATAGTAATGCTGGTCCATGAATCTCTACGATAATTCTAAGAGGTCGCGCACTAAGAGTTTGTTTTTCCCATAGGAATAACAAGTAAGAAAATTAGTTATTCTCTTTTGAGGTCGACAGTATTTTGTAGGATCAATCAAAACTGCCGAAACTGTAAGAATACATTGATTATACATGTTATATAAACTCAGATTCTTTAAATTCCAAAAATTGTTTTTTGCAATTACCAGATTTGACCCAAACCGGGCAAGCGATTAAAAAAGACTAATTTACGAAATCTGAGCCTGCCTAATAGTTAAATAGCATATAATCAATGAATTCTTATAGTTTTGAGCTTTTTGATTGATCCTAGAAAATTAATTGACCTCAGAAGAGAAGAACTCATTTCCTAAAAAACGCTAGATGTTCCAGGGAGAATCATTACTATTACTATACGAAATACCAAAATCTAATTCGGATTCCGGTTGCATTGCAGGATTTGGTCTAATGTACATACATATGTATGTACGTAGTTATTTCGGAATTTGAAAGAGAGTTCTTACACATATTTCTAGCTCAACAGAAAACATATGAATTTCCATGTTCCAGGCGAACGCCCATTTCCTAAAAATTTATCTTATTTTCCGCTAAAAGGTCATTGTAAATATCTATTTTGAGTGAATCAGCTTCAGCAGTTACTAAAATATCGCAGTTTTCATATTTCCTCCAAATACCGTTATATGGGAGGTAGGCGTTGTTATTGTCCGAACACGAGTTATCGTGTGCACAGAAGGACGGACAGAGAGTCACGGTTTAATCGATTTCTCGTTTTGTTCTGAGCATTTTTGTAGTGGCCACAAATGTATATGATCATTGAGCGCCATTTAATGTTTGCTATTATTGGG